TCATCTCTTGCAGCAACTGTTGGACCTTTTAAAAAGAAAGAACAAATGAAAAACTACATTACACAGCTGGTTTGAAATGTACATTTAGGAAAAAATGATAAACCTCATCCCCTTCATTCCCTTTACTTTTTATATGAGTGCAAAAAATTGGTACCTTCTTAATGTCTGGTCTCTTATTTTTCTTTTCATGAAGACATTGACTAGCAATAGAGTACATAGCTTCAACTGAAGTGGAATCAACATCATTCATCTTTACATCAATATAATCTTCAATTGTCTTTTCTTCATCTTCAATTTCTTCTTTAATATCTAGCTTAAAAATGAGTGTTAAAATTCTGTTAAGAGCTTCAAATATAAGAGAAATAAATTAAATATCAATTTTAATTATTTAAATTAACCTATGCTTTTACTATCCTTTCACTGTCTTTTTTTATAGCACTTTTAAGAAGGGAAGATACTGGGCTGGGGTTGTAGCTCAGTGGTGGAGTGCTTGCCTTGCAAGCTTGAGGCACTGGGTTCAATCCTCACTACCACAAAAATAAATAAATAAACAAACAAATAAATAAATTTATAAATTTAAAAAAGAATGGAAAATACACAGAACAAACATTAAATATTTATTTAAACCCCCCTAAATACTTTTAACCTCTTGCCTTCTAATTTTTGCATTTACATGTGAGCTAATTTCTTATGTGTTCCCATTAGTAGCATTTAATAGGCAGGCAGGGCAGAGTTATCTGCCTCATGATGTGCTTCTGCTAATGCAATTCCAACTCCTAGACACATACACCCCTCCCTGCTTTTGAAAAACTTCTCTATAGGTACTTAGATTGTTTCATCAAAGAGAAAAAAAGGAGGGGGCATAAGGGAGAGGCCAGGATGAAAGAATAATGAATGAGGATAGAAGTCTAGGACTATGGTGGTACAGTGGTAGCTCCCAAAACATGTCTATGTCCTAATTCCTGGAACCTGTGAATGTGACCTTATCTGGAAAAACTACATCTTTGTAGACATAATTAAATATCTTTTTTTTAAGAGAGAGAGAGAAAAAGAGAGATAGAGAATTTTTTAATATTTATTTTTCAGTTTTCGGTGGACACAACATCTTTCTTTTATTTTTATGTGGTGCTGGGATCGAACTCAGCACCCTGCAAGCGTGTTACCGCTTGAGCTACATCCCCAGCCCATAATTAAATATCTTAAGAGGAGGTCATGCTGGATTTTCCAGGTGGCCACTAAATACAATGACAAGTGTCTGTATATGAACAAAAAGAGGAAAAAAGATATATAGAAGACAATGTGATTACAGAGACAGAGACTGGAGTGGTAGAGACATAAGTCAAGGAATGCCTTCAGAAGGCAGAAGAGGAGCCTCAGCAGTGGAGAGGCACTAAGCAACTCAGTGAGTCTCTGTTTCGAAATCAAATACAAAATAAGGGCTGGGGATGTGGCTCAATGATTGAATGTCCCTGAGTTCAATCCCCAGTAACCCCCCTCCCCAAGAAAAAGAAGGTGGAAGAGGAAGAAAGGATTCTCCCCTGGACTCTCCAGAGGGAGCCACAGCCTTGCTAACACCTTGATTTCAGACACTTGGCCTCCAAAAGTGTGACAGAATAAATTTCTGTCACTTTAAGTCTTCTACTTTGTGGTATGTTTTACAGCAGCTCAAGAAAACTAGTACAGATGTAAAAGATTACTTATAAGAAATAGAATGTAAAGATAAGAAAATTTTCTCTAGTGACATAAAGGCTTATTAAAGCATCACACTCTGGGCTGGGGATGTGGCTCAAGCGGTAGCACGTTCGCCTGGCATGCGTGCAGCCCAGGTTCGATCCTCAGCACCACATACAAACAAAGATGTTGTGTCCATCTAAAACTAAAAAATAAATATTAAAATTCTCAAAAATAAAACAAAGCATCACACTCTTAGCTATATGTGCATTAAAATCTTATTATTTTATATTGATACCATATTCAAGCCTTAAGAATGGGTGAAAAAGTATAAACTTCCCTTAAGTTTTATGATGTTCACTATTAAATGATGAAGTATAAAACTTGTGACTAAGAGAGATTCTGTACTTTTCTGTATTACATCCTCACTTAATTTGAAGTTTTGAGGCTCTTATACATTCTGAAGAGGAAAAAGATTTAGGTAATAGGATAGAAAAAGTAGGCCTTTAGACAGGTAAGCCTTGCCTAAAAAGTTTAAGCTGCAAGTTAGTAAAACACTGAGTTCCAACTTTTGCCCTCTGTACCTCTTTTCTCTGACCTCCTCTATTTTTAATCTATATATTTTATATAATTCAATCCACACCCAAAGCTTTATCTATAACTTAATTAGTGACTCAAAAATAGCATCTCCAATCCAGGATTTTCCATCAACTTCCAATAACCAATTAAACAGATAATTTTATTTCTCTGATAAAGACAAAATTTTACTTTTTAATGTGCCACTTAAAAATTTAGATATTACTAAAACAATAACTTTAACATTGTATCTATAAATATACTGATATGAAATATTATATTGCATGTATTACTGCATGATTGCATTACCAATATACCATGGAGAGCTTTATGATGTACATTTTTATAATGGAAAAAATATTATAACATACAGATACTTTACTTATGGTTTCTACAAAAAGGTATGGCACCAGATCCTTGAGCAAATAAATCAATCCCTTTGATTTTCTAATTCCAATTCTAGCTACATAATCTGGTATATGAATATTTCTGATATGATTGTACTGGTTTGTCCCATTTGGATACATAAATTCCAATGAAATCAGTATGGTTATTTATCCAAGTTTAAGAAAAACTTATACATGATATTTCCATCACTCTTTAATTTCATATAAATTTCAAAATTCTTAAAACTTGTGACATAGAAAAAAAGCAGGGCATAATTTTCCTCTAGTTTTATTTATCATTCAGCTAACTTACTTATAAATTGTCAATGAAATGTCTAATATATAAAATTAGATAATGTTTTCTAAAACTTTATAAATACTCTATAATATAAATAGAGAACGTTTACAAGCAATCCTATTCTGATACAAATTTAAATGTAGTCATTTCTTTCTGAGCTAGAAAACTGTTAGTAACCATCCTGGAAAGTAAGAAATTAAGGTAAACTGGAGAAGATCTCAGAAATCATTTAGTTATATTCTAATTTCACTCACAAAGAATGTATAAGTGACCGTTCTAGGCTTCACAAATACTTCATGGCAGAGGTGAGATTAGAAATATTTAATTCTCTTTCCATATATCATTCTGTATTGCCAGTAGAAATACTTGTAAAATAAAATTCCATTTCTAGATGTCAAATTTACCCATACATAGTAAATATTTAGACAATAAATGCAAAGAGAAAAGAAGTAGAAAAAAATGGAATCTTTCAGTTACTAATAACTGAGGTTCACGGTGTTCATCCACAGCTGGAAGTCCAGTGATTATTTCTAGTAAAACCTATAAAGAAAAAAATCCATTAATATAACACTTAGGATAACATAAAAACTAGAAGGAATATGAATCTTGATTATGAAATCTGGTTAATATTTTCTGTACAAAATGTATAGCTTTTGGTATTAAAGCAGAAAGAACACAAACCATGGGCATTTCTCATCATCTTCCTTCATGGGCACCTAGGATCCCACCATGCCCCCATAAGCAATTCTTTCCTATTGTCAACTTGTAAAAGAATCAATCCAATCAACATGTGTTCTGGGAATTCCTAATCCTTCTCCAATCTCTCAGGGTATTCTTCACAAGAATAAAGAAAATTAAATTTGATTATCTAATCCCAATTCTCTGGCTCTTAGAAGAATCTTATGTTCTAAACACTAGACATATTCTACAACTCCATTCCTTAATGGTACAGTGCAATGAAGTCAACTTTCCATATGTGAAATATATTTGAAAAAGATTAGATGAAGAAAAAGCCCTTAATATCTCCAACACTCACACTCTGTTCCTTACTCAAACTTAGTAACTATTAAGAACAGACTAGTAGATCAGAAAATGCCAAGAAAATGGAGACTAAAGAACATATTATATGACATGACTCATTCTATACATTGATTTAATTTAAGCTCATCCAATTCACAAAAAATCATTTATTGCAACAATTAAAAAAAACCTCAAAAATATCATACATTGGGAGACATTTTCATAAACTTTCTGATATAATCAAAGGTTAACGTAAATAATTAACATCTTAAACACAAAAGCTAAGCAACATAGGTATATTAAAATACTCTTTTAATTTCGTACTTGTAGAATGATTATTGTATGTAACTTACCACACCAAAGCTGTAGACATCAGATTTGGGTGTTATTTCTCCTCGTAAAGCTTCAGGTGCCATATAAGCTGTTGTGCCCACAATTCTGCTAGTCATGACTGTCTGGGCAAACTTCTCAGAGGCCCGCGCAAGTCCAAAATCTGATATTTTGGCAGTAAAGTCTTCATCTAGTAAGATATTTGCACTAAAAAAATGTAAAGTGTGGAGAAAAAATGTTTTCTTCCCAAGAGGAAGTCAAATAGTTCCTTAGATAGATATATGAAAGTATATATGCACACATGTATATACACATATATTTACATTGTTTGCCATTTTATTGGATATATCATAAAAGCATGAAATTTGTGTAAATATATCTAGGATTCAGATTACAGTCAAATAGAAAGAGGAAAAACATTTAGGAGAATAAAAATGAAATAGAAATTTCCATGCTAGTTAGAGATATTTTAATAAATATTTCACAAATAATTAAAAAATTTTTAGTTATTGATGGATCTTTATTTTATTTATTTATATGTAGTTCTGAGAATTGAATCCAGTGCCTCACACATGCTAGACAAGGGCTCTATCACTGAGCCACAACCCAGCCCCATAAATAATTTTTTATAGGAAATTTTAGTCAGCTTTTTGCTGCTGTGACTAAAAGACCTGAGAAGAACAATTTCAGAAGAGGAAACCATAACACAGGGTAACTTCCCAGTCTTCCAAAGTACCATTTTTTTTTCTTTGTGGTTATGGGGATTAAACTCATGGAACTTGCACATACCAGACAAGTGATTGCCACTGAGCTATATTCCAGCCTTCAAAGCACCATTCTAACAAAATTTTAATTTTTTTATTGAGAAATAGTATTTGTGCATCTTTGTGGGATATATTAGTTATTCAATATTTACAATATATAATAATCAAATCAGGGTAATAAGCAGTCCTATCTCTTTAAACATTAATCATTTTTAAGTTTTGGGAATCTCATACTCTTCTAGTCATTTCAAAATGTATCAGTGTTATTTTAACCTCTAGTTACCCTACTGTGCTATAGAAGAACCAGAAGTTATTCCTCCACTCTGTTTTTTGGTGCCCTATGAACTTGCTTTTCCCCTTCCCTTCCAAGTCTCTAGTGACAATTACTCTATTCTGTTCTTCTATGAGATTGACTTATTAGTTTCCAAAAATGAGTGAAAATGTTGTATTTGTCTTTCTGTGTCTAGCTTTAAAATAAATTGAAAACGCCATTCTTAATTCCTTTCCTAACAGTACTCAATTCACTTAAAAACAAATTTCTAAAGTTATCTCAATTATTTATTACTTTGAACTATTTTTGTACCATCTGGAATCTTATAAAGGGTCAAATTATGTATAAAAGACATTAATGAATTCATGACAAGCATCCATTTATATATTCATATTTTCATTCAATAAAACCTTATTGAAAAGACTTTGTTTTATAGTATTTAAACTTGGTGATGAATATGTGGTGAATCTTAGAACTTTATCTGTGGAAAAATTATATGAAAAATTAAAAAAAAAACCAGTATTACACTGGGCTAGGGCTATAGCTCAGTAGCAGAGCGCTTGCCTAGCATGTGTGAAGCACTGGGTTTGATCCTCAGCACCACATTAAAATAAACAAATAAAATAAAGGCATTCTGTCTATGTACAGCTACCAAAAAATTTAAAAAACAGTATTACATGATGAGAATATTAGATACCAAATGCTGGAAAACCAATCATGTGCCAGGAATTACTGGGGAAAATTCCAAAGAGAAGGTATGAATTATACTTTGTTTTAGAGGATTATTTGAAGTTGATGGTTATATGAAGGAAAGAAAGGCATGTCAGGGAAATGAACATATACAAAGGGATGAAAACACAACAGCATATGGTATACAGAATCAATTTAAAAACTAGTGTTCATGGAAGATGGAGTGAATTTGAATAGTATCTAAAGTTTACATAGTATGGAACTGATAATTTCAGATTTATCTTTTAGAACCATAACCTGGAAGTGTTGTAGTGAACAGGTGAGAACTGGTACAGACTTGTTTTATATTGACTAGGAAGGTTTGAAATAAAGCCAATAAAAGATAACAAAGATCTAAACAGAGGCAGAATAAATAGGAAGTGCACATTTTCAGGCATAGAAATTTGTGACAATAGGATATAGGGACTGAAAAGTGTTAAGTTTTGGAAATGAATAAATAGTGACTTCATTTGATTACAAAGGAAATACAGTTTTGGGAGCTATGGATGAATTATGGGTTTGTGTAAGCCACCTCAAAGCAGGGGCATTGCTCTTTTGAGATCTCTCATTTGCTCATGATAGCAGGGGCAAAAAAATTCTGTCTTCCACAGAATTTACTGGTTCATACAGCTCTAGATTCAAACAGCTGCCTGGAGGTGAAAGAGACAGCAGTGTGCTCGAACTGAATTAAGGCACCAGGTGCCTGGAGGAGAAAGAAGTAATGCAAAAGCTGATATGCTACCAATTATGCTGTGTTCTCCTCAGCTTTACTTTGGTTTATCTTGTAGAAGTTTCTCTCATAATAAATCCCTTTGATGTGTTTGCATATAAAATAAAGCACATGGATCTCCCCTTTTTGTTAGAGATCAGACCCCACCAGGGCTGATTCACCCACTGAGCCCCACTATTTATCTACTAATTGACTTTTTTGTCTTTATTTCTTATATTTCTTATTTTTAATCACCTCATCATCTCGAGTTTAGGTAAACTGAGTAAATGTCATGCAGGTCATGATAATACAAGAAAAAGATGTTTGGTTGAAGGGATGGTTTGATTTCTAAGATAGTGACTTAGAGGCTCCAGTGGGATACTCAGGCAAGCAGTTTTAGTACAGGCACATTGAAAAATACAGTGTTAGAAGCTGATGATATTGACTTGAGAGTCACCTAGGCTGCCCTTAAAGTAAACTGCCAGGCTGTCTTAAACTTGCAATCCTCCTACCTCAGCCTCCCCAGTAGCTGTGATTACAAGCATACACCACTGCACCCAGCTCCACTTCTTTATCTTAAAAGAACCTTAAACACAACATGTACAAAAGAGAATTTATATTTTCACTTTCCCCAACACCACTCCAACAGAGACCTCTTTCTATATAAGTGAATCATGCCACAATGATTCCAGAGTACAATTCCGGATGTCATAATTCCAAGAGTTATTCCTGATATATCCCCCCCTTCACTGCCAAGATATCAGCAAAGCATGCCATATTAATCTCTTCAATTTGCTCACTTCTCTTCAAATTAACTGCCATGACCAAGACTTATATGGTAGCCTACTAATTACCCCTTCTTACAAACTGTTCTCCATACCAGAGTCACAATGATCTTGTAAAACTTATATATTATGTCAATGCCTTACTATAATTTTAATAACATCTAATTACATTTAAGATTTAATCACATATAAAACCTTACCTTGGTCTATCAGGCCCTATAGGTCTTAACTCCCTATCTATTTAATTTTATTTCAACTCTTGCATCCCTTCACTTTCTACATAACAGTCAAACTTTATTTCACCTCTTAACTCATTGAACTCTTATATTCCTTCCCACTACTGATCTTACAAACATGGTTCTTTCTGTCTAGATTGTTCTCTCCATCTTCTATAGCTGCCTTCAAACTGTTCTTGCTTATTTCCTACTCATTCTTTGGATGGAGGTAATATATTTCACATATACATACTCATACACACTGAACCTATACTAAATACTATGATTCTATTATTATTTTGTGATTATTCAATTGATGTCAAACTCTATATATGCCACTTTTGCTAAATTGCATCATGTACAGTACTTAGTATACAGCAGGTTAATATTGAACTAGAGAAATATAAATACATGTGATGGTTTAGATATGAAATATATCATGTGTTGCAGGCTTGGTCCCCAATAAAGAAACGTTTAGAGGTGGGGATTTTGGGATCTTCAGGAGTACTCTGACCTCATCAACTGACTGATCTATTGAGGGATTTGTAGATAAGGGCATTACTGGGAGGTAGGACTTAGTTGGAAGAAGTAGGTTACTGGGGTATGCCTTGCAAGGGTATTTCTTCTGACTTCTTCCTTAGTCCCTCTCTCTGCTTTCTGCTGCCATAAGGTGAGCAGTTTTGTTCTGCATTGCCTCAGGCCCAAAGCAACAGAGCCAGCCGATCACGGACTGAAACCTCTGAAACAGTAAGCCAAAATACATCTTTCCTTTTCTAGTTGTTCATGTTAAGTATTTTGTCACAATGATACAAAGCTGACATAATACTTAAGAAGAAAGAGAACTGAAAAAGTACTCAAGGGGGATGAAGGTGATTCAGAAAAGAGTAATAATCCAGAAACTAACAAAGAAACTATTTTCCACAAGGCAAAAGAGTTCAAGAAGAACAGAATAACATAATGTCAACAAATAAAGGGAAAAAAGTCAAGTAGGATGAGTACTAGAAATAGGTCATTGGATTTGAAATAAAGCAGATTACAGATGTCCTCAGTGAGAAGAGCTTTCATGGACTTATGGAGAATGTATCCAGTTGCTTCAGGTTAAGACATGCATGTGAATAGTGAATAAACACAGTGACAACAAATTAAATACGGCTTTCCAAAAACTTTTCACAGCTGCATTTACCTTTTAATATCTCTATGAATATGATGGTTTTCATGTAGAAAACTGATTCCATTAGCTGCACCCTGAGTAATCCTGCATCTTGTGTGCCAAGAAAGTGGTGGAGTACCATCCTTATGAAGAAACAAACCAATTAAAAAAAGAAAAAAAAATCTATAGAAAATATGTAACTCAATATTTTTTTCTAGGCAATAACTGAAAAATGCTATCACTAAGAATTTAGGTCTATAATTTTTTAAGTTATTAAAATATGTCTAAATAAGATCAAATAGAGGTTAGCATTTCTTATTTGAAGATAAAAATATATAAGAGCATTTCAACATCTAACCTTGACTAGTAATTTTAGGTGATCACCTAACAGACTGGCAATCCTACTTGTTTACTTATCAACTAGACAGCTTTTATAGAGCAAGAAAAATATTAAGTTTAGTGTAATTTAAATGATCCTGTACAAAGTAAATATTAATATTCTAGCACAGAAACAGAAAGCCAAATGATATGATGAACAAAATATCTTACCAAGCAACACAGTCTGTCTAGCAATGAACCGTTGGGCATGTAAACGTATACTAAGCAGAGATCATCGCCATCACTTGAGAAACCAAGTAGTTCTACCAAATTTTCATGTTGACACCTATGACAAAAAATTTTCCATGTAGATCATTATAATATCTATTTGTAAATATTCAATTTAGTGTTTCAACAGAAAAAAGATCAAGAAAATAGTATGTTATATATCAAATATATATCTATGTCTTAATTATATAACCATAATTTTCTGTAAATGGTTCTCTCTTCTGAAATACTGATCAATGTTAGAAGCAAAACCTCTTTCTATTTTATAGTGAAAATTCAATAATTTGGTTCATTAGAATTTATCATAACTTGGTTAAAGATTGGGTTGATGCCTGTATTTGTTCAGTACAATTTTCAATAGCAAAAAGAAGATTTTAAGAAGCCTGCTCAAACTTTTATAATACTCTCAAGAATTCTCTAATACACCAAAATATTTTATCACACACTAAAGCACTGATTTATAGGCCAGATCTTTATTCACATCTGATTGTCTGTTTATATATATATACACCTGAGGATAATAAAACTGAAGAGAAGTTACAGTATAACAAAACTTCATGGATCTCTGGTTCAGCTTAGAGAAAACAGAGCTGAGTTCAAAGTCAAGTTGAAAATCTAGCTCTGCTACTTCTTAGATATGTGACCTGTAGCAGGTCAACAACCTCACTGAGACTCAGCTCCTTTATTTGCTAAATGCAGAAAATAGTAGCTAATTGGTAATATGAACACTTATAATTAAATGAATAAATATACAAAAGCCTAGAAACATACCTGACACATATGTACTCCTTCCAAGTGCTTACTCACTTTGTTCATTCAAAATGCTTGATACTTCTAACATTTCCTTATAGCAAATAAATTATCTCTACCTTCATTAATATTTTAAGAAATATAAATTAAAAAATAATTGTTTCATTTTCCACCAAACTGGCACATTTTAAATATTAGTAGTTAACATTCACTGAATTTATACTATCCTTAAGGTATTGTGATGATTTACTTGCTTTGTTTTATTTAATCTTCACAAGAAGGTAATATTATCCAATTTTACAGATTAGAAAACTAATGGATGGAGAGTAAAGAAATTTGGTCAATGTCATTCTACTAGTAAGGATCAGAGATTGGCACATATCAAAAAAATAGGCAATGGTGATTAGGTAGCAGTGATATTTACACTGCTAGTAGAAGTAAAATGATTACACTTGGGGTAGAGGGTGTAGCTCAGTGGTGGAGCATTTGGTTAGCATGAGTGAGACTCTGGGTTCAATCCCCATCATCAGAAAAATTAAATAAATTACCATTACTTATCTATAAAAAGTCATTTGAACATGTATTTGGAAAGTCTTTAGAAAGTTAATGTAATCTGATCTGGTAAGTCTTTAGGAATTTATCCTGATGAAATAAGCCAAAATATATTTAAACATTCAAAGATATTTGTGATCCTTAAAGGATCTTTGATTTGTAATACTGAAAATTAGAAAAAAAATCTAGTAGGACAATGGTTAAGTAAGATATGGTCTTTATAAATGACAGAATGTTACAAATAATTAAATTTTTAATTAAATTTTTAATTTTATTTTTAATGACATGGTAAAAATGCTACCAACATCATGAAACAAGTACATCAGAATATTTGCAATGGTTACCTCTGAGTTATATATTTAAGAGTTGGTTTTGATTATTTAAAAAAATTTTTTTCTATATTTCCCAGTTTATCTACTTTAAACAAATTACTTTTACAACTGGAGAACTGGAGGTATGAGTAGACAACAAATTTTCTTTTTTTCAGTGTGCATTATTTTTACTATACCTGAATCAATTTCAGTTTATTAAATATTTCTTGAGATTAACCAAATAGAATTGGTAATTTATAGCAATGGGCCTCGGGGATATAATTTGGTAAATCCCATTAAGATCCAAATCCAGAGCTCAGGCTCTGGAATCAGATCTGGATTTGAATCCTATCTTTTAACATTTACTGTCTGTTTAACCTTGGGCAAGTTATTTAACACTTCTAAATCTTTCTTTGTTTTAAAGGGAGGTTGTAAGAGTTGTACTGAGAATTAAATGAGTCAATATAAATAAAATATGTAACACAGTGCCCAGCATATTGTATACACTCAAATGTCAATCAGTATAAGTACTAAATACATTTCTGATTTGTTTCTCCTACCTTTCTTGATGATGTTAACAATTTCCCAGCATTCTAGGTCAAAGTATTCTAAATATCTTTGCATATAATGCTTCCCTAGTTACTTTATGATTGTTATCTAAGGGTCTATTATTCTGTAAAGTTTTTTTAAAAGTATCTCTACAATTGATCTTTCATGAATTTTGGGTGCAGAAAACATAATAATGGAAAACTGCTGAAATTCCATGTAACTTCCTTATGATTTAAAACTAACTCCTTTTAATCTACAAGCATATGAATGTATGCAGTCATAGAACTGAGCCAATAGTACTTATCTAAACCCTTTACTTTGATTTTATATAACTGCATTTGGAAATATCCATAGCTCATGGTACACTTTGGTAAAGAAACCAGGTTCCTTATACCTTAACTGGTTCTTTTCCCCTCTATCACACTGCCAAGTAATACTTACTTTGCCATTACTTTTATTTCTTGATCAAATTGTTTTTTCAATTCTTCAGTACTAATGTCTACCATCTGAAAAAATAATATGCAGTTTAATACAGTATCATTACCCATGGATTCTAAAGCTGAAGCAGCTCAAGAAATAGCTGGTTGATCTACTTTCTTTAAATCAATAAGGTACTATTTTCCTTATTTGTAGAACAACTGATATATAGAAATTTTAGTGTTTTGCTCAAGGTCCATGGTTTATCAGAGAACAGAAAAAAATTATGAGCCTCCCTAAGTTACTGTGAAAACAAAATAGAATGAGACTTCACTGCATAGAAATTTTGAAGTAAGAGAAAACCAGCAAATTTGAATGCAAAAAGAAAATAAAATATTTGAAACATATATGAGAAAGAATGACAATGCATATATATGCGATCTATTAATATTTTTAGGATATAACAACAGATTTAGAGTATAACAAATCAAAAAGTAAGGGGTGAATATGTAAATAGAAATGGGAACCAAGAATATAGACAAGAAGATTTCTAGTCTTGATATATATTTTCTAAACTATATTTTTAAACAAGAAAAGTAATACAAAATATATATATATAAATTTTCTTAGTATCATTTTTATTTTGATTACTCATGAGGTACTATGTGGCGCAGGATTTCTCAATTTTATTTTGCACATCTCTCAAAATTGTATGTATGATCATATGCATGTGTGCAAAATATTTTTTTCTAGGGATGGGGTCCACACCTCTCAATTGAATTTTAAATGTTAAGGACTACCAGCTTTAGGAAGGCATTTATTAGAAGAAAATACATGGTGAAATAACACATTTCCTAAAGATTACGTAAAGCTTGTTATATCACATACTAGGAAGCAACTATTCCTTTCATTCTTTTCCTCCTAAAAACATTACTTACAGCTGCCAGCTTCTTCACTGCCACTGCTGTGTTGTTCACATAGCCTTTGTATACAACTCCAAATCCTCCCTCTCCCATTTTATTGCCACCAACAGAAATGGGCCGTTCATCAAAATTATTTGTGACATTCTTCAATTCATAAAATGAAAAACTATGAAAACCTAAAATGCCAATAAAATAAGGAAAAGTAACTAAATAAAAAGGAAATTAGTTTTAATAATTTTGATGTTTTCTCAACTTAATATTTCGTACATATGCAAATACAAAAGAAAAGACAGGACAGATGGGATGGGGTAAAACCATGTTTAAAACACAAATTTTAAACTTTATTATGAAAATTATGCTTAGTGATCTTACCAACCAAACATTCTAGTTACTATCCAAAGTGAAGTCACATAATTTCTTTAAAAAATGTCACCTGCAAGTTATGGAAATATTTACTTATTTTTCCCTAGTTTCTATGTTTTGTTTTGTTTTGTTTTTGTGGTACTGGTTCTCAAACCCAGATGCATGCTAGTCAAGCACTCTACCTTTGAGCTATATCCCCAGCCTACCACTTTCTATGTTGTTTTTTGTTTTTGTTTATTGCATATCTTTACCTCTAATCACTGATACTTGTTAATGCAATGAAGATAATACATAATAAATGAAGAGGGGAAATAAAAACCATGCAAGAGCTATTGCCAGTGTGCCTTTGAGAGCTAAACAAATGAAAGAAGGAGAAATTTATTTTAAAACAGTGATTGTCATCATGACAAATTTACTAGTAAAGAGAGCAGTGAAAATGTTACTTACGTGTATCACTAAATTCTAAACTTTTATTTTCTGGACTTGAAGAGTCAGGTAGCACATGGTTTTGTTCAAGATTCTGCACAGGTATCACAGATGTCCTGTCTTTTCCATAGAAAGGCATCTGTTTCTGCTGAACTGTTGTAGATTCTGTACAAGGTACAGCATGAACAGTTTTGGGAACAGCATCTGCAAAACAGAATAAAAAACAAAACAGAATAAGAAACACTTATTCCTTCCACAAGAAATTGTGTGTAAAAAAGTTCAACTAGGAACTCAGTTTAATTAATAACATTTGAATTTTCAGAGGTTGGCACTATATTTTGACAGCATACATAAGAAGCTACCTAGTAAGAACTTGTCAGTCACAATAAATATTGGTATAGTAAGGCAGTGTTTACAAAATGTGGCTCATGTGCCACCTGCACTAGAAACACTGAAGTACTTGTTTAAGAACATAGACCTTGAATCTAACTCCAGAATTTCTGACTAGCTCTGGAAAAGACCTCCTTGTTCAACAAGAACCCCAAATGATTCTTATGCACAATAAAGATTGAGAACCACTGGTATAAAGGGTGTCAAAGGGAGAAAGTTAAGGTTATAAGGAAGATAACTAGACACTAACACACTACAATGCAGTGTGGGGAAATCATGATGATAGAGTGTCATCAAAGTGGAATCTGAAGGTGGAAAAAACAAGAGCTCAAAAGAATAATTTCCTACAGCCTACACAAGTTCTGAACTTCCCGATGGCACAGAATTATCTAATTTTAATGGTGGAGATCAGACTCACTTTAGCAGCAGTCTGAAGTGTCCTGTGTCTGCTTGTTAAAGAGTTTGGGAGAGCTGAAAGAATGAAAGGAATTCTTAAATGTAAGGTTCATTTAATATGAGAAAGAAAGTAAGAGTAAGTAGAAATGTTTCCATTTCTGCTATTTGTCTTTCTACCCTAATTGTTGATACCCTGGTCACACTCAGTTTACCTGGAAGCAAAAGACTTGCAGGAGCAAAAAACTCATTTTGGATCAAAAGATCCACAAGATCACCAACTGTGCAATTTGTGGTACCCCAGTCAAACAGTAATTCACAAGTGGGACTTTTTCCAGTTTGAAGTAATGCTTCAAATCTCCTTAAAAGCAAGTAACAAAGAAACAAATTAGGATATAATTTGAGTTCATATGAAAACAGGAATTAGCCTCCTTTCTCCTTGTCTTGCTTACAGAACCTCCTATAAAATTAAAGGGAAGGGATAGCAGGAGAACAAGCAAAAATTACCACAAGCCAGGAAAGAGAGGCAAGAGAAAAGATGCTGAAGATAATAATAAAAGTTAACATTTACTGAGTACTTAGTGGGCTACAGGATGCAAATGCATGAACTTGTTTAAGGATATTATGATTACCATTTTAATTAACTAATGAGAAATCCAAGGTTGGACTGGTAGAGTAACCAGTCCAGGGTCACACAGCCAATAAGATACATCCAAGGTGAGATCCAAATTCAGATTTCTCTTCACATAAAGATGTACTTTCAACATACTAAGCTATATTACTTCCTTCATGACTTATTAACTAAATTAATTTTTATTTATTTAATTTTAAAAATAAATCCACCTTCTTAATTAAACAAATAGAATATGTACACGTTCAGGAAATTACTCCTTTGATTTTAACTATACTTAATATTTAACTAAATTGAAAGAAAACAGAGCCTTTTTTCATTCAGTACTTTAAAATTAAAAATTAGTTTCATGAAGTAACATTTAAAAACTTAATCAATATAACTTTCTCTGTTTTTCCTCCAACTATTTTATTTGGAAAATTTCAAACCTACAGAAAAGCTGAAAGAATAATGCAATGACCAACCATTTACCTACCCTTCGTCTAGATTCACCAACTGCTAACATTTTGCTAATCTGGGTTCTTGACCATACTGGTTTTTCAATCTCTGTGAGTGCGACAATGTTTGAAGTGTAAAACAGATGTCTTGCATAATGTCTCACAATCTATATTTACCTTACTACTTTCTCATTCAGGTTAAAATTTTTGGTAAGAACACTACGTAGGTGACAATGTACCCTTCTCACTGTGTCATATTCAGAGGTAAAAAAAAAATTCATTTTGTGTCATTACTGTTGATCACTTGTTTAAGGAAGGTTTCTTTATGATAAAAGTAACTTTTTCCTTCTTAATTAAGTAACTTGAGAGTAATATGTGGATATCTTGTATATCTGTTCATCAACAACCTTTATCTTATGCTTTTAAGTTCAATGATGAACCAATTATCATTAGCGGTTGTAAATTTGTAACTTTCTGATTTTATCATTATTTTAATCATTATTTCCTAGCATTATTCTCTAAAGAAGAGCTTTTTTCCTATCCCCTCCCACAACTATCAAGTTTTAAATACTAATATCAACAAACTATCTTTAAAAAGTAGCTTTCACGTTTTAAACTTGATGCTTTCACAAGTAATTTAAGATGTTTAAGCCTTCATATCAGCAAATATTTCCTGGAAGGACTAATATAGGTGTCAAGGCTTTAGATTCTTTGCCAGGTGATTGTTGAATACCAAAAATAAATTTCCTTTTCTCTTGCTTTCAAAGACATATTTTGACATAGGTCTTAATTGTAGTGACTGACAAAAAAACCCATATTTTTTGTCACTAAGAAAAAAATGAGTACAAACAAAGAATGTTAATCATGTGAAGCTACTGTTGAAAAATTCTGGGTATGATCTAAGAATTACATTTGGAGATATGAACACTTACAAGTTAACAGCCTTAAAATCAATTTGAAAAACTGCCAAAATACATTGGTAAGGGTGCTTAGAGATTCACACACTTAAAAGTTTAAACTCCAGAATTTTACTAGATTTTTACAACAGTCTTATGTTCCTTTAATCTGAAAATTCAAAGTGTAAAACAGAGTGACAGAGAACTAGTGCAAAGGTGAGACTCTTTACTCTAACTCAAAAACTTATTTTCAAGATCACAATATTAGCCCAGCTGACAAGTTGAAGAATGAAGCAAAAATTGCAAAAGGAAAAGAAGAAAACAAAAAGGGGTGACTTATTACCCACAATAGAGAAGTTCACTTTCTAAATTCAATGAGTCAATAAAATTAAAGGGAAGGGATAGCAGGAGAACAAGCAATTAATAGGTATTTCTACCTACTAATGTAAAAATTTCAAAAGAAAAAGAATTTTATGTTACCTTATGTGAAACTGATTGTATCTATCATCACCAGATGGTTTTTTAATAGCTATAGCTAATTTCTTCCATCCTTCTTGAGGATCAATAAAATCTGACAACTTTCTAATTAGGCCAGCATTGAGGCAGCGCACATATGTTGATGGTGTTAAGGGTTTGTTCATCTTCTATTCCTGAAATGAATAAATATGAAAAAATTCTCATTAAAATTTTACAGTAGTTTTGGAGGTGACATCTTTGAGCTCATATATCATACTTTGCTATACTGCACGAAATGTTGGCAACTGATTATAACACAACAAAGCAACACTCCAAGGTCAACTAGTTGATGTCCTAAGAAGAAATCCAAATTAAAATGCATTTTCAAGTTGTCCTCTGGTTTTGCTTTATTTTTCCACCTATAAATATCAATAAAAACAGGAGGACTTTTTTTCTGACACTGATATTTGCCAAGTGAAATTAATACAATGCAGCAAAAATTTTAACTTTATCTGAAAAATTTCTGTGAGTATGTTTGGGAATCAAGTCTATTTATCTTTCCATTTAAAATATAATTTTTTTCTATCAACACTTAACTATTAAAATCTATGCAATATTCTTTGGTAAAAGTGAAAAGTAAATATACTGAAATAATTTAATAGCATTAAAAGATATATGGCCCAGATAGTTGTGGTGGCACTTGCCTGTAATCCTAGTGGCATAGGAGGCTGAAGTAAGAGGAGCACAAATTAAAGGCAGGCTTGGCAACTTAGTGAGACCCGGTCTTAAATAAAAAAAATTAAAAGGTTGGGGATGTAGCTCAGTGGTAGAGTATCCCTGGGTTCAATCCCCAGTACCACATATACACAAACACATACATAGAAGATATGGTCCATTCACATACTTTGTTAGCATGCTCTTCCTTAACCCCTTCACTCCTGCCAGCCTCACCTCCCCGACTCCTGGTATTGGGGATTAAAACCAGTGGCACTTTACCACTTATCTCCATCCCTGGTTCATTTTTTTCATTTTGAGACAGGGTATCCCTAAGTTTCTGACACTGGCCTCTGAATTGTGACCCTCCTACCTCAACTTACCTAGTGGCTGGGCTTGTAGGCCAGCCCTACCACACCCGATCCCCTACACATACTTTGAGTCCTTGAGATCTGCCTCACCACAATTTTCATTCCCTACTAAGCCAAAAAATGTGGTTTGCCATTTCAACATCTCTCTAAATAGAACCTTTATTTCCTCAATCTCCCTTTTCTTCTATAACTTTACTCTGGAGATAGAAGCCAGGGATAAGTCTCACAAGTTTACTTGTTTACTAGACCTGTAGAATACAGCTGTAAAGAACTAGATAATGGAATAGACTGGTGTGAACACCAGTTTATGACATCCCTTTTTAACTGGGCATTCAATGCTATTATTTTTTACTTCTCTTGTGTCATTGTTCTTAGTGACTATTTCATACTTTTACCTCTCTATGTAGCTTTAACTTTTTTCATGCCCTTCATTCTCAGTAGATGGTGATCTTTCCTTTCAATGACTCAAGACAGATATTTTTCTGTCAATTATTTTTGCTTCCCTTTATTTTTTTCTTGAAAATACAAAACAATGTATTTACAGAGTAAAGAATACATTCATAGGGTAAAAATTTAAAAATTATAAACAAGAGTAAAAAGAAAAGTCTCTGTATCATAGGCTTCTAGGTCAATATTCACTTCTTTTTATCTTCCTTTGACCACCATATCTAAATAGGTTTACCTGTTCTCTACCTAGTTATCTTTCATCATTACTTCATGAGTTCGGGGACCATACTGATTTTATGAATTAATATATACCCAGAGACTTGCACATTGTAGATACTGGTGTTCTGTGCTTATTTTAGGAATGAACAAATTATTGCTCAGTACCTTACTAGGTGAATTATGTATTTCATTTAATCCTTTCAGTAACTAAGACAATTTTGCCACTTTTATACTGCATAGTAGTAAGTGAAAGATCAGGAACTTGAACTCATTTGGAACTCTTGAGTCCAAAATTCATGCCTTCTTGCTTCTATAATTGATGCATTGTTCATATCACTCTTTTCTAGAGGGACCATTCCTTTCATTTTATTCATTTATACATTCAGCAAACATATGCATCAGGCTTTATCCCAAAGAGAAAATCTTTGTTCTTAAGTTGCTCAGTCCAGCAGAGAATACAAAAAATTAAAATCAATGATAAACAAAGAGGTATGTTTAGAATGTTACGTGGCCCAGAGAAGGAGCATCAAGTAGAGGCAGTCAAAATTAGGTATATTAGGACATATTGGTTTGGTGTCATATATTATGATATATTTGGTTGAGTGAGAGGTTAGTAGGATGAGTGAAAGGTTATGATAAACCCAAAAGGAAATTCTATATAGAAGGAACAGTCTGGAAAAAGATGAGAAAGCATGGGTTAGGCTCAAATAATATCTATTATAGCTGGACCACAAGGTGTATGTGATATAGTTAAGAGAGATGAAGTTGGAGAAACAGGAGGGCCAAATAATTACATGCTCTGTAGACTAAGACAAGGAGTTTAAATTAGTATTAAAAGTTTCAGAGGAGCAACTTCATGATTTTTAAGAAGGGGGTATTGTATGATCTTTGTTAAGTGGATTCCTCTGGATAAAAAATTAAAGAGATCAGTCAAGGTCAAGAGACCATATCAAGGCAAGGAGACCAGTTTGAAAACATCTGCAATAATCTGGATGAGCAGAAATAAAAGCCTGAAAAAAAAAGTATACTTTCAGGTAATAGACAAAAACAGATGAAAAAGTTTAGAGACCAAATCAAAACAATTTCATAGCCAGGCAGAGTGGTGCACACCTGTAATGCCAGTGGCTTGGGAGGCTGAGGCAGGACGATTGAAATTGCAAAGCCAGCCTCAGCAATTTAGCAAGGCCCTAGAGACACTGTCTCAAAATAAATAAATAAAATAAATAAATAAATAAAAGGCCCGGGAATGTGGTTCACTGGTTAAGTAGTTCTGGGTTCAGTCCCCCATATCATAAAAAGAAAGAAAGAAAGAAAATTCATAAGAGATCAGAGATTAGAGGAAAGAGAGAGTGAGAGAATAATGAGAGGATGCCTGGATTTTGTGAAATATCTATTCGTGGCAACATCTAGGAAAGGTGGCATCAAGTAGCTATATGCATGTCTGGAGCTTAGCAGAGAGGTTTCAGCACAGAATGCTCACTTATGTATTCTCATTTATGAATTGAGGGGCTGGGGTTGTGGCTCAGGGGTAGAGTGCTTGCCTAGCATGTGTGAGGCACTGGGTTCAATTCTGAGCACTGCATATAAATAAATTAATAAAATAAAAAGATGCATCAACATCTAAATTTAAAAAAATTATGAATTGAGAGCATATTTGCATATACAGCTGAGAAAAAAAATTAAAAATAAATTTGCCAATTAGCAACATACAGAATGGGAAGGAACGAAGTAAAAGAAGCAAATTAAAAAGTACTTGATAAGTTATGGAGGCAAAAAGAAAATCAGGACAGTACCATATTAGATTTATAGAATGGGGACTGGTTGGTCTCCATTCTAGAAATCTAGAGAAGTCAGATAAATACCGATTAGTATGTAAAATTTGGAAACCTGAAGGATAGTGGTGACTTAAGAACAGTACAGTGAACAGTGAATGAATGGTAAAATAGATTTCCCAAGATGTCCATCTATGAAGAGAAGGAGAGGAACAGGGGAAGGGAGTTGAAGAAGGAAAAGAAGCTGAAATATGGAATCTAAAGTTGTATCAATGAACACTGCACATTAAAATCCACTGTACTCAATGAATCTTTTATCCATATGTGATTTGGACCTCACAGACTTTATGAAAGAGTTCCAGGGACCCCGATCACATTTTGAGAGCTGCTGGTTAAGAGTTTAAGGCTTAAGCTGGTTGTTGATACAAATGAGATAGTGAAAAGATCAGTGCTGAGCAGAAGGAAATCTCTTCCTCTGAATCTAAAAAGAAGCATAGAGGGAGATTTCCCACACAATGTCATTTCCTCTATGAAGTAGGACACAAAGTCATCTAGGGCTAAGTAAAAGCTCAAGCCCCTTAAGAGCCAGCTACTCCTCTGAGTCCAACTCAGAAGGTAGTATTGGCTTTTCCTGACAATCAACTCTTTTGCTCCAAAATGTCACCTGATCATTCTTCTGTTACAACAATTATTATATTTTATTGTGTTTCTGTCTTCCCTGCTTGTGTATTCTCCTGGGTAGCAATTCAACCAAATGTACTTCAGCAGCTACAGAAAACATTTGTGCTGAATGAAAGGCTGATATTTTTAAATTAAGAAATCCTGTCTACGTATAGATTATGCAGCTGACTCCTTCAAGTTATTTTCCCTTACTTGTCCATATTTCTCTAAACTGTAATACATGATTGACAAAGCTAGAAAGGTACAAATGCTCAATAATTCTAAAAACTACAGCTAAAATGCAAGGAATTGAGAACAAAAACAGGCTATATTATGGTCAGAAATAAATTTTGTAGCTCTCCTGCACCCAGATTTCTAGCTGAGATGATAGTATAGGGACATCAGGAAAAGAAAGGCCTTTCAACATCTCCTCCATAGATGTATACCCAAAAGTTCTAAATTCCAGAATTTAAAATTTTACCTTATATTTTCATACCATCCCAACCACATATTTGGAAGAATATAAACCAAAATATTAACAGTGGTTATCTCTTGATTATTATTTTTGTGGTTATTTTAATTTTGCTTTTATGGCTTTTCAAAAATGAAAATAAACTGTATAGAAAAACTAGAAAGTATCATCTTTTTTAAACTCCTTAAAATGTACTTTGGTAAATTCTGCATTAATAGAAGTGGTGCTGGATCTATAAGTATCCTTATGATTATTTTCTCATATCACTAATTTCTATGGTGAAGACAAACCATTCATATTTTCAAATAAGACAATGAGGACAAGTATACTAGATGAGGTGGCAATATACTAAAATCGATGTCTGCTTGTGGAATCCAAATGCGTTTCTGTTCATATGCCCATAGTATGCCCCAAGAGACTTCAAAACATTTTTGTCAAATGAATCAATACAGTTTAAGCCTATAATAAAAGGAGGGGAATGTATAGGGGTTGGAGAATGATGGACTTTGGGTTTGCATGGGTGTGGAAACAATTATTTTTGACAGAATTTATTACATAACATTGTTTTTAAAAGTAATGCACAGAAATATATGTAACCTCAATATTTAGAGTAGTGTTGAAGGGTTATTTGTTGGGTACAAACAATAGATATGAGAATATAGCTGAGTTTTTCAGATGCTGGCAGTCTTATTTAATCAAACACAGTACTTTTTAACATATTTGTAACCCTTCTAAAATACATTATTTGCTTTCATATGTTCTTAGCAAAATATGCCAAATAGTCATTAATGTTTATTTTTGAACACCTCAATATCATCACCAAATACAAAAACTGATGATAACTTCCTATAAAATTCTACAGGGTAGCCTTTTCCAAACTGGGATATGTGCTGGCATATCATAAACAAACATGTATCTTTTTTAAAAAAATGACTTAACTCAATGGTAAGTAATTTAAAATGTTTGGGGTATTTAAAAATTATATAATGCCATTCATTCATCCAATATTTACAGAGTGTCTCTTTGAGCTAGAAGGCTCCTGGAAATAGAGCTTTAGGACAATTGGGGGGGGGAATTAACTGCTGGAACTTATATTCTAATAAAGAAGTCAGGGAATAAGCAAATGAATGAATTCTATAGTATGTTGAAGTTAGGACACAGAAGCAGGAAAAGTCAAATTAGGAGAGTGTACCAACAATCTGATGGGAAATGCTGGCAGCTTGGATTACTGGATACAGCAGAGAAGCTGCAGAAGATCCAGGATGCTGGGTATGTTCTGAGGTAGAGCCAACAGAATCTTGTGTGCTGAAGAGGGGAGGCAGAAGACAGCACCAAGGATTTGGACTTGAACACATTTCTGACATATACTGACAGAAAGACTGTGGAAGGAGTAAGTTTGTTCTGGAAGACCAGGAGGTCAGTTCGGACAAATAGAAATCAAACTTCCCATGAATGTTTAGTATGAAAACAGGAGAATAAAAGAAATCTGGATTTTCCAATAGACGTCTACAGGATCACTACCAGAAAGGGAAAACGACAGATTTTAATATCCTGTGCTTTTAAGGCGCTTGGGGCAGGCAGGTTTTTGAGATACCAATAGCGCCTAGTTTCCATTCTCAGTGGCTAAAAGTATTTTCTCAGGGTTTGCTTTTTATCCTTTTGTGTCTTTTGCTTCCAAGTCGTCACGTATGTTCCAAATCTGGTAATGTACTTATCTGATCCTACAATGCCTCTCCACTTTCTAATTGGAATCTTGAAAGCCAGAGAAACTTTTCCCCGCCACAAGCATCTCCGTTGAGTGCTGACTTGACTTCCTGGTTCTGAGGAAAAAAGGCTCAGGAACACACACCCGGGGAGCCAAGAAACACAGAGTATCTGAGACAGCAAATGGCTGGGTGACGCCCCTCCACGCCACAGGTTCGTGCTCTGGTTTGACGAACTTCTGGATCCCCAGGGACCCACCAAGCTGTCCGCGGCAGCCTACTTCCTAACTTTTCTGACTTTGATGGTAAGGCGATTTGCGTTCTGCGGCGGTCCCGCGACAACCCTGAGCAAAGAGAATGAGGCTCGACTCCCACAACCTTCCGAGAAGGGAGATGCACAGGCCGGAAATCCCTTACCTGCCGGGGAGTCAGGTGGGAAGCACTGACCCGACACGGCCAGGCCGAGCTAGCAGCGGAACGCCAGCGCACCCGGAAGCGCTGGAGAGGGGAGGTGCCGTTCTGAAGGCCACGCCCCCTGATTCCTCTAGGTGCCTGTAGGCGGCTCTAGGACTGGAGAAACTCTTGCAAAGGTCGATTCTTTAAGTGTGAGCCTGTCCCTTTAAATATGCCTCCGTCGGAGGCTGAAAAATCAAAAGCTTCCGGACATGCGCAGAACGTGCAGAGGAACGCCTTCTTCTGGATTTAACACCGGTGCGAGATTTTGGCGCCACGTGTGGATCATATATATGTTCAAGATCAGTTCGGGATTGAGGAGTCCTACTTTTTATCCTCAAGAGAAGGGTGACGTGGGCCAGGGTCGCGCCTTGTACGGGCGGGGCAGGGTAGAGCTGCTGTCAGTAGAGCTGCTGTCAGTGTTGGAGGGTGTTTGGATGTGGAGGCTTTGCCGCTCGAGGCTGTCGTTGGAGGGGTGGCTTCGGTAGGAGTTTCACAGGCCTGGGCGATTGGTGAAAGAAGAGGATGAAGGACAAGGAGCTACCCTTCTCTGTTTCCAACACCGTCGCAGTATCCCTCCTCAACCAGCAGTTCCTCAACCACTGCCAGCCAGCTGCCCTCAGCGCCCCACTCTTCCCTCATCAGCAGACTTTTGCCTGGGAACACTAGCCCTTAATGCATAGCTCCACTTGGGCGCCCTTTCCACCCTCAAGATCCCCTCAAGTTTTTTCCACCTATTTCATTAGTTTAGAAGTCTTTCCTATCTTTTCGTGGGGAAGAAATGATGATCGTCTTCCGGGGCCAATTCCTCCAGCTGAACCCCTTGTTTTTCTTCCCCAACTCTTACTCCATCAGATGCAGGATGCTCAGTTTCCTCAAAGTCGACTTAGAAAAATGTCCTTTTGGATTGTGTTCCTTTTCTACTCGAACATCTCCAGTGGTCAGCTAGTGATGTTGCAATCGATTCTAAATATTTGACAGACCATTCAATGTCCTTCATACTCTGGCCTTAATCCAGCTGTTTTTTACAAAATTCTGTCAAAGTTTCCTCCCACCTCTAAGTGCTCTGTATCCGGGCCATTTTTCTCTAACATATTGCGTATTTTGTTTGCATATTACTTATGCCTCTGTCATGTTTCTACCTCTTGAAATATTTCAAAGACTTAGATGTCCGCTTCTTATATTGTGTCTTTCCCGATTATCCTAGGCAAAAGTCACCGTTTCTTCCTTTTCATTCTTAAAGCTCTTATTTTGTTTTAGGTGTTTCATTCAACAATCAGTATTGATTATAGACTTACTGTGTGCTTGATGCTGTTCTAAACACGGGTTAATCAGTGCATAATGCAGAGTTCCTTTTCGTATGGAGTTGATATTAGATTTGGGGACATAGTAAATATTAAAGAGAAACATTAGCTAGACATGCTATGGAGAAAATTAAATAGGATTTTGTGGAAGAGAATGACTTGCATATTCCTATGGATTATTGAATAAACCTCTCAGAATGTGAGTCCTAAAAGATACAGTTATATGATTAAGGACAAATTTAAGCAGCAAAAAGAGTTATGAAGATAGTGAAGAATGGTAGTATAACTGGAGTATAGTGGGTAATGGGGTAAAGGTACAAGATGAGTTTGGAGAACAAAGGCAAAATGTTTTTGGAAGCCAGTACAAATAATTTGGCTTTTGTTATAAATGTAATAAGAGGGCTTTAAACAGAGTTGTGATATGATTTACCTTTTTAAACAACATTCTGGATACCGCATCAAGAAGGACTATAGTACGCTGGATGCATAAGCAGGGATTAGAGGCCTTCACAAAGTCTTGAGAATTTGGGGGATGGAAGTATTTAAAATAATGGTGATGAAAGGACAGTGAGAGTGATCAGGGAGTCATATCCTTACAGTTTGTGCAGATTTTTTTTTTTTGAGAAAGTCAAAGTTATGACCATAAGAAAGGATAACAAAAATAAAGTGAGAGCTTGAGGATGAAATTGAGGAAGCGAGAAACCAAGAAATTAAATGGATTATCCATATAGATGATCATGATGTAATGCTGGATAAGAATATTGTGAACCAGAAGTTTTAAGTGAATAAAGAAAAGTCATCAGGAGAGAGAGGATGGCAGTGGAGGATAATGCCTGATGGCATGATCTGCAAAGGAATTGGGATTTTTAGAGGTAGGGGAAGAAATGATAGGGAAAGATCAGTGGGAAATAGGAAGTATAATCTCCAGGTCTTCAACTAGATAAGTGTAGGAAAAAAACAAAAAACAAACAAACAACAACAACAAAACCACTTTACTTGAGAGAACTATTAAAGAAGGAACCTGGGGAAATAGCCAGGTTTTAATAAGGGCAAGAAATAGAAGGGACTGTGTAGGAAACTAAAGAATTAAGGAAAATGTATATCTTCATTTAGTAAATTAGGATATAGAGAATTTGCTGTGATTTCTTCATAGCACAATGGAAAGGATTGAGAAGGGAAGTGGTTTGCTCAGTTGGTCCAGTTTAGTACAGTATATTTTAGAAATGAGATGAAGGTCCAGATGATGATAAATTATCTGCATAATATGAATAACACAAACTGAGTATTAAGGCCCCTAGACAATTTATCTTTCCACCAGCTCCATAAGTTACGGTAGCAGTGGATTTTATTACTGAATGAAGGTGTTCTCAGAGAACAATTCTCTTGTCTACTTCTTCAACAAAACTCTGTAAGGGTTTCTTATCTATGATGCCAAGGATATGATTACAATTTTTCTCTGAATCAACCTCACATTTTTATATCAATATTAATTGAGGGCTTTAGGGAAGGCTTAAAGTCCAGGACTAACCTAAACCTCCCATGAAATGTAAACTCATAGTAAGTTGGCATTTAGAACTTTGTTAAGCTATCAATTTTGACTTTTTTTTTTGATCTTGTCCCCTCTCCTGTTTTAACTTCTAATATATAAAAACCTAGCCACTATTTCTCTGGAATTAGTTGAAAGTTTTAGGCTCAAGAGGTGGAATTGGACAAATCATTGTACTTGTCTTTTCTTTGTGAACCTACAGATGATTCTTTTTTTTTTTTTTTTTTTGTAAGCTTGGAATTGATCCTTTTTAATTCTGGACAGGAGGCAGAAGACTAGAGTGAATGAAGAATCAATTTATAAATCAGTAGTTGTACCAAAAATGGGTCAAATACACATGATTTATAGTCATAAATTGTTAATGTCATCTAAGGGGACTCAGGATTTAAAGGTCTATGTACATCTTGTAAAGCTTTTCCCTTTTTTGTTAGCTACAACTTCTCTTTCTGATTAACTAATTGTCTTTTTGTTTCTTTTGTAGGCATTATTATTGAAGAATGGAAGAAGATACACATTATAGAATCAGGTTTAGTTCTTTGTGTTTCATCAATGAACATGTTGGATTTCAGGGTACTATAAAAAGCTCACCTGGTGACTTTATTGTTATTGAGATCGATGAACAAGGACAGTTAGTTAATAAAGCCATTGATGAACCAATTAATGCAGTTAGTAAAATACCTGAGCTGAATAATTTTGCCAAAAAGCCAAAATTAGATCTTCAAAATTTGTCCTTTGAAGATGGAAGTTACCAAGAACTTAATACTTTGTCTAAGTGCTCTGATGGTGACCAAAATCACCAGTCTAATTCAGAAAAAGAAGATACCATCAGTGATAGGACTTCCAAGTGTGAAGAAGAAAAAGCTGATGTATTAAACTTCTTTTTAGATGAAAAAACAAATGAATTACTGAATCAGTTTGCCTGTGATGTAAAAGAGAAATGGAATTCAGAAACTGAGCTAATTGGGCCATCTCCTGAATTCTCATTAGGCAGGATTCTTGACAAAAACCAAAGGGCTATTTTACACAGTGCTATTAGGCAGAAATTTCCTTTCTTAATAACTGTAGGAAAAAACAGTGAAATTGTTATAAAACCAAATCTTGAATATAAAGAACTTTGCCATTTGGTATCTGAAGAAGAAGCACTTGACTTTTTTAAGTATTTGGATGCAAAGAAAGAAAATTCCAAATTTACCTTTAAGCCTGATGCAAACAAAGACCACAGAAAAGCTGTCCACCATTTTGTCAATAAGAAGTTTGGAAACCTTGTGGAGACCAAATCTTTTCCTGAACAGACTTACAGTGCTGGTGATCCAAATGTAGTAATAACAGTAAGATTTCGGGAAAAAACAAAGCACAAGAAAAGGTCTCTTCTTGAATGCCAGGAAAGAAAAGTGATATATACAGGTAACTAAATAATAAATCATGTCTTGGAATAGCTTACTTAAATTTAAAATTATGTGGAAGCTGAATACCTTCAATGAGTTGAGTAGACATGGCTAGAGAGATTCTGGGAAAAAATATACTGGTCTGTTATTTAAAGGAAGATGAATCCTTCCAAATTATATCAGTGTAAAAATTAGCCTGAAAAGTTGGGTAATATAGATGTTTATAGTTAATATAGCCTCAATTGTATCATGTTGAAACCATTGTTTTGTGCTCAAAAAGTTTTATTTATTTCACATTTTGAACATCAATTAAAATTAAGTTTTTGGAGATAAGAAGAATTTGTTTGCTATGTTTGGAAAAGTTGAAAAGAACCCCTCATAACCCAAAACAATTAAACTTCCCTACCCATGGTAAAGACTCCTAAAACTGGGCTCTGTCAGTCTTCTCTAGGATGTGCTCAAATTTTGGCATGCATTTTAATCATCAGAAATTTTTGGTAAAATGAATTTTTGAGTCCCATTCCAGTTTGTGATTCAGAGGGTTGGAGGGGGACTTTACAAATCCTTCACTAATACTTTATCTATTGGTTTGGGGACTACATTTTTAGAATCACTGTTTTAGGGGATGTATAGAATTCCTAGGACAGATGAAATTGATGAAATCTCACTGTACAGTTCTAGCTGACAAAGTTTAATTGGTCTGTGTCCTGTTTGAAGAATGGAAAGTATTTCATATGGTCATGTTTTACAAATTTACTTAGTGAATTATTTAAAAGAAGACCAGTAACCCAAGTTTGCACGGTTGAATGTGGCACAGAAACAGGACTATGTACCATGTACATACTTTGTGTTGTAAATGAAAAGGAGTTTGGATTTTTGAGTTTTGTGAGTATAACTTTTTTATTATGACTCTAGTTCACAAAAATATTTATGAAATTTTAAATATCCTTAAGATTTAAGTTCCTTAAATGTGAAAATGGAAATAATATATAGGCAAATTATTTAACAATTTATATCTTTTTCCCCCCCCTCCTCAGTATTGAGTATTGACCTCAAAGGTGCTGTATCACTGAACTATATCCCCAGCCTTTCTGATTTTTTATTTTGCAACAGAGTCTTGCTAAGATGCCACCACAGTTGCCCTTAAATTTCAGAACCTCTTGTCTCAGCTTCCAAAAGCACTGTGATTACAGGTGTGCACTACCATGCCTGGCACAATTCATAACTTTTAAGTGTACTTTAAAAATGAGATAATAGTAAAACCTTACAATGATATTCTCAGGATTAATTGAAACTCATGAAATTATTTAGTATATAATAATTACTTAAACGTTAGCATCTTTTTCTCTCCTGGTAATTTCTGTCTAGTTATATGACTTGACTTTCCCAAGATAAAGCTGCTAACATAGAATTTGACATATCAGGCATGCAATAAATATTAGCAGATAAGTCTATTATGAAGGAAAAACAATATTAACTTTATATGTAGGGAGAAGAATTGCTGTTAAGTGATTTAAACAGCTCTAGGAATTCTTATTTTTAATACGACTTGAAATTCTAATAGTACTAATTTGAGTTAATGAGTCAAATGTGGAAACTTTTTATATTAATTTAAATAAATTTTGTAAAGCTATGAATGGTTGGAGGGATATATTAAAAGAAGAATTAATCGCTTGCCTAAGGATGATTATGAGGGTACTGGGATACCTACAAGCCCAAGAACAAAGAAAGAGACAAAAATAAATTTTGCCTACTCCATATTTTTGCTTAGGCAATGCTTTATGAGAATCAAAAGGTAAAAATATTTAATAACCAGATCTCTATAAAACCTGGATCCTTTTTTAAAAAAATCCTTAAAATTTTTTTAATTGTGGTAAAACCATTTTAATTATTTTTAAGTGTATAGTTCAATGGTAAGGGCACTCACATTGTTGCACAAATATCACCACTATTTGTCTCCAGAATTTTGTCATCTTCCCAGGGTGACACTCCATACTTATTAAATGAAGGTTTGTGTTACTTAGCATAAGGTGTTCAAGGTTCATCCATATTGAGGTGTGTGTTAGAATTTCTTTCTTTTCTAAGGCTGAATAATATTCCATTGTATGTATATAACACATTCTGTTCGTTCATTCATTTGCCAATGGATAGGGTCACTTCTATTTTTGGACTATTATGAATTATGCTGCTATGAATATAGTTATATTCAAGTTGCCTTTTCAGTTCTTTGGGGTATATACATAGCAGTAGAATTATTAGGCTATATGGTAATTCTGTGTTTAATATTTTGAGAAATTGCTCTGCCATTTTTCAATGACACATTTTTGAAATACTAGTAAAAAAGACTTTAAGCATCCAATAAAAATTTCATTTTAGATATTTATTTTCCATCACTAGAGGATTCATTTGACTTGTAGGTCTTAAATTTCCTCACTATGTTTGTGCTTTCCTTTAATCTTTGAGTCTATTTTTGATAGAGCCTTAAAAATGTTTGCTAATTTCATCTCTTTCATGGACTGATCTTTATTTGGGTTATGGGTCATGTGTTTATGCTTCTTCACATGTCTAATACTTTTTTTAGAGGCCCAAAATTGTGCTATTGCATTGTTGAGTATCTGAATTGTGTTGTCTTCTTTTTTATCAAGTAAAAAGTATTTTGCAGATTTATTTGAGGTTTCATTTTACGTTTAAAGGGAAATTTACAGTAGGTTTTACTCTGTGACCATTATAGAGCTCTTGTCTAGAAGAAGTCCAGGATAAAGATCAAGGTGCAGTAATGTTAGAGTCTGGTTCTCTCCTTAGTTTGCAGATCAGCACCTTCTCTCTCACATGTCCTTTTCATGTTTGTTTGTTTTTTTTTTTAATATTTTTTAGTTGTTGATGGACCTTTATTTTATTTATTTATATGCAGTGCTGAGAAATGAACCCAGTGCCTCACACATTCTAAGCAAATGCTCTACCCCTGAACTATGACCCCAGCCCTTCATTGTGTGCTTTTGAGGGAAGAGAATGAGAATGCTGTGTTGTATCTTATAAAGATGCTAAACCTATTGTACTAGGGTTCTACCATGATGACCTCATTAACTTTAATTACTTCATTTGAGGCCTCATCTCCAAACTGGCCATACTGGTGTTTGGGGCTTAAGCATATGAACTTTGAGGGTATACATATAATCAGTACATAACAGATGATAAATGATTATTATTATTTCATGTCACTAAGTTTTAATGCAGTATTCAGAAGTTAATAGTGATTTTGGTACCAGAAATGGTTGCTTCTATAACAAAAACCTAAAATTGGTAGGTACCTATTCTTAGGCAGAAGTTTGAATGTCCCTACTATGAAAAGGGATTATTATGATAGTTTACAGTAAAATGTTAGAATCAAGACAAAAGGGATCCTTGGTATATAGTGCCAGAAAATTTAACATTGTGTTAATCTTTAGTTAAAATGGAAAGCAAAAAAATGTATCTGTTGAAGGAATGCTCAAAGAAAGATTTCCAGGCAAGTGTTGAAATGTAAACTGGCTTTTTATTGCTTATGGTAAAATTCTAATGGAAAACCAGTCACATATAAAAAGGAACTGGATATTCTGTGTCTAAAACAAACAAACAAACAAATTATATGCATACATATTTAAATTTCCAATCACTCCAAGTCGCACATGATGTTTAAATTAAGAAATGGTTTCCAGGCAAGGTCCAGACAGCATGCTCTAAGAAGGAAATCTAGATGTGATTATATAATCCTTTTGTTAAAATTTTAGAAAGATTTGTAATAATGCTTTAGAGAGTAGTTCAGACAGACAGAGGCCTTCTAAGGATTCTAAAGGTGTAATTCTTGGACTCCTGTTTAAACAGTAGTTCTAGGATTTTTAGGGGAAATATATCTCTGCAGCTTTAGCCCAAAGTAGGAAAGGTCTTTTCTTAATAAATTTGATTATCTTTTGTCTAAGGGAGTAAATCCAAAGAAGATCCATACAGTTCTTTTAAAGGGTCAGACAGTAAGTACTAAATAAAGAGGCATTTGAACTCTCAAACTTGCAAAGGCAGTCACTAGTGTGGGAAAACTATTTTGCTACAAATAGGCATATATGGAAAAATACTTTTTTCCCCCAGAACTAAGAACCAGAGGTAAATGTAAGAGCCATTAACAAATTCCTAGACATTGATTAGTACTAAATTCTGATAAAGGGACTACTAACATTTACTTAGCTAGCATGGAATTACTAAGGATCAGTGACTTCTTCGTAATTACAGTTTGAATGTGGAATTCAGAGTGCTTATGCCATGTGTGTCCCAACATATTGAGGTGTGTGAAAATCCGATATGTTTTCTTTCACAGTTCTTTGTATCCTTTATATTAAGAGAAGTTGTATTTGGGGATGTAAATTCAAAAGAAAATATACCCAACTTGTGCCTTATTTATTTCTGAATTTGATGTAGATGTAGAGATCCTAGAATTTGAGCTGATGTAATAGGATAATTCTTTGGGGCCATAGAAAATATGTATATTTTGAATAGGATTGGAACATTAAATATGATTCAGAGCATGGATTTTATTTTTCAGCATTCATGATGGCTCTCAGTGTGCCAATCCTCCTAATGTTGCCACAGTTTGGCCTGAGTGACCAATAGGACAGGATAGTAATTGTGGTGTATGATATGACTTTTGAAGCTAGATCTTAAAAGTATTATACTTTTGGTCCATTTTTCCTGGATTGCTTACTCTGGGGAAAACCAGCTACTATAATATAAGATACTGAAGCCATCCATTCTAGAGGAACTAAGCCCTCTCACCAACAACCAACACCAACTTGCTCACCATGTGAGTGATTCTCTTTAGAAATGGATTCTCCAGTTCCTCTTAAGCTTTTAAGTCACCGTAGCCCTAGCTACATTTAACTAGAATTTCATGAGACCTAAGCTAGATCCACCCAACTGAGATGCCCTTGAATTCCTGACCCTGAGTAACCATGAGAGATATATCAACATTGTAAACCACTAAGGTTTGGTGTGACTTGTTATGCAACATTAAATTAATAATACATAGCCTTTAACCCTAGATATATACAAATTGTTAATCAGCAACGAACTCAAGGGATTACCTATTCTGATTTCTGGAAATCTTTCTCATCTGGTACTCTGCCTGGTAAATTCCAGCTCACTTAGCCTTCTTGAAGTCCAGTCTCTTTACCCTTTTAATTTAGCAAGACTATTCTGTCTGGATTCTACCTCCATGTATTGTGGTCCAGAAAGTATTTCTAAGTAGAAAACCAGCAGCATTTCAGGACTCACCTCATGTGACCACTGTTATTCAGTTTCCAAAAACAGCTATTCTGTATGTTTTGTTCAGTTTTCTAATTGTTTACAATGGGCTGGTAGTCATGATTTCAACATAGCTCAAGGTGGAAGTCTGAAACTAAATTTTAAAATTTAATATTATTGATTTTCTTTGTAATGCTTCATTTTTCACAAATAAGAAAAAGTTATATATCTTATAAACTTAGTGACATTTAAGTTTTTGTAAGAGTTCCCATGTTGTGGTTACTTCAATAAGATTCAGTGTAGAAAGATAAATTTAAATTGATTATTTTAAATTGGAACTAAAAGTCTCATTGTCTTAAATTCAAGGATATAAACTTCTACGTAGATGTAATAATATCATTGATTTGATTCTCTAAAATGGTTATATGAAATTCCAAAAATTATGGACACAGAAGTGCTTTTTTCCTGTGGCTGGGAACATTGCTCAGTTGGTAGAGTGTTTGCCTTGCGTGCACAAGGCTCTGGGTTTAATCCCCAGCACAAAAAAAAAAAAAAAAGGAAAGAAAGAAAAAAAGTGCTTATTTCTTTAGGCTAATTTGCAACAAACTGCCAATCTTAAATTTGAGTTGGGGATTCCTTCTTACATGGCTGACCTTTCCTAATGATATCCCCAAGATTATCAGGAATGTATATGACATGTTGAACCCTAATCTTTAATCATTCATTGTAGGAGTACAATGAATGTTATTGTATAAAATTTAAATTGGATTGCTAGCCTAGAACTACAGTCATTGAATATAATAGTGAAAAAATAAGAATAATCTATTTTGGGGGAGCATTTAACCTTGGAACTTGAAAAAAATTTGAGGAAGAGATGCTGCTGTTATTAGATCCTGAAGAATAAATAAAAGTATGACGAATAATATATGGAAGGTACATGTTTTAGACAGAGAGACTTGTACAAAAATACAGAACTGTGGAAGGCTGTAGTCTATCCAAGGATTAAAGAAGTTCTCTGTGTCAGAATTATAGGGTACACAATGAAAGGGGTACATATGGAGATGGGAAAGCTAAATTTGTGATAGATATGAATGAAAGGTTAAGGGATTTGGATTATTTTTTTAAATTTGTAGGCCATTAATGAGCCAACTCCTTTTAAACAATAACAGATGAAATCTATGATATGATTTTGTATTTCAATTAAAAATGTTCTTTATCTAATATTACATTGTTACCCATGAATATATGTCCATTAAAATTTAAAAAATTAAAATTAAAATTAAAAAAAATGTTCTTTATCTAAACCGGTTCATTATCCTGAACTGTAGTCTGGTAAGAGTGTCATAGATATGTGGTAGCTACATTTTTAATAATCTGGGATAATTTGTGTTTTAGCTTTTACCCTACGAAAGGAAAATCTGGAGATGTTTGAAGCAATTGGTTTTTTAGCTCTCAAACTTGGTGTGATTCCTTCGGATTTTACTTATGCAGGCCTTAAAGACAAGAAAGCCATCACCTATCAAGCAATGGTTGTGAGAAAAGTGACTCCAGAGAGGTAATAAGGTATTATTATAAGTGTATTAACCTAAAACATTAATTAATTTATTATAGACCAAACTGAATACTCTGCATTAAACATATAATTGTCTTCTACATAGAGTTTTGTCTCAATTTTCCATTGAAAATATTGGAAGTTTTAGAATAAAACTGAGAAGTCACAATTTTTAAATTGTCCAAATTGTTTCTAAATATTCTGTGCTATATTCAAAGATGTATTATATTCAGGAAAGTGTCATAAATAATTTTTCCTGATTATTTTAATACTTTTATAACTTTATTATCCTTATTTAGGATAATCTTTGTTAAGTATAAAATACTCTAATTAGCTTCCCTTTAGCTTAATCAAATTTTTAAAAGTTTTTGTAATTGCAAAAAAATTTATTATACATTTAGAAAGTAGAAAAAAAGAAAAAAAATAAATCACTGATTATTCTAAGAAATAACTAGCATAAACATTTTGGTTTATTTCTTTTAAGATATTTTTCAGACTCTACCATGTATTCATATCACACATATATTTATTATATATATGAAAATCATATTACATATGCCGTTTATATTTTACTTTTCAAAATAAAATAATTAAATTATATGAAAATTTATGTCATCAAATATTTCAAAATCATGTCTGTGACACAGATTTATTAACAGTTACCTATTTTTGGAAATAGGAATTCTTTCAATTTTTTTATTATAAATAATACTATGATTAACATTTTTATACTTAAATCTATACCCCATGCATACTTTCCTCAAGACAGACATCAAAAAGTTGAATCATTGGGTCAAAATCCAGCCGAATTTGATGTATTATTAATATTTTAATCCTTATTCATCAGATATTTAAGTATTCACCTATTTACAAGTAGACTTGTCTAAATTCTTCTGAGCTTCTTGTATAAGAGATAAAAAGTTGTGATTTTTGTTTTTGTGATCAAGAAATACAGTATAAGTAAGAAAGAAAGACTTTAGATTTTGGGCCTTTGAGAAAAAAGCTAGTTTTTAACTACCAAAGAAAACAAATGTTATTAGTTCCTGTCAAGAGAGATTGCTTTCATTTGTTTCATGGTATGGGGTTTTAATTACTCTCCAAGTAATAACAGGATTTTAGTAGATGCAAAAAACCTAGAGATATATTTGGAGAGATAATAAAATAAACAATTTCCTAATAAAACATAATTTTATAAAGACTACAGAATATGAAGGTTGAAAATTTACATTGGCTCCTTCAGAATCTTAAAATTCATTCTAAGGAAAGCTGAGATCTACTTTAGGTGTTGGGTAAGAATCGAAAGTTTGAGTAAGGAAGTGTTCAAAACAGAATTTCAGGAAAATTCTCTGTGCTAGTGGCTTTTCTTGATAATTTTGGGAAAAAGGACTGACAAGGAAAGGAGCAGAATCCAGATCAGGGGAAACATCAACACCTATCATTTGAACTAAGGAGAAATCAAAAGTCCTACGTAAGTACTCCGTGATAGTATTAGTTAGTAATACATGTTCAAGTTCCTAAATAGGACTACTTTTGTTAGTATAATAGTGACTAGTGCATATTACTTGTTGAAATAACATTAACTTTAGAATGTTCCAGAAAAAATACTGTATCAGTATTATTCTGGTATAATGAATTACATGGCAACTATCATTTCAAATCTCATATTAAAGTAATTTTTAGGGCTGGGGATGTGGCTCAAGTGGTAGCGCGCTTGCCTGGCATGCGTGTGGCCCGGGTTCGATCCTCAGCACCATATGCAAAACAAAGATGTTGTGTCCGCCGAGAACTAAAAAATAAATATTAAAATTCTCTCTCTTTCTCTCTGTCTCTCTCTCCTCTCTTCTCTCTTTAAAAAAAATATTTGAAGTAATTTTTAAATGTAAGATTCAACCAAGTCTATATAATTTATCATTTGCAGGTTGAAAAATATTGAAAAAGAAATTGAAAAGAAAAGAATGAATGTGTTTAATATTCGATCTGTTGGTAAGCCCCTTAGACTTGGACAGCTCAAAGGAAATCACTTTAATATTGTCGTCAGAAATTTACAAAATCAAATAAATGATTCTGCAAATTTGAAAGAGAGAATTTTTGAGGCGATAGAAAATGTTAAGGTAAGAAAACTCAATTTTTAAATAGAGAATCACAGGAAAACCTTCATAGTCCTTCTTTTTACATTGAAGTGAGAATAGAACCTTCTGTACCTTTTTATGTGTGTGCATAATTATTTTTAAAATGATAGGGTTATTTGGCTTGTTTTCTGTGTTCTTAATACAGTTTTATTAAAATAGCATAAATATAATTTTAAAAATACAGTATATGGAGATCCCTTAGAGAAAGGAGAACAATCTCTTGCTTAAAAAGAGATTTATTTATTCCTTCCTTCCTTCCTTCCTTCCTTCCTTCCTTCCTTCCTTCCTTCCTTCCTTCCTTTCTTTCTTTTCTTTTCTTTTTTCTTTTTAGAATCTTCTTTATTATTTTTGTCAGGGGAATTTATTTATTTAGTTTTTGGAAAATTTTTTCAGTAATTCTTTTTAGAAATCTTTGTTAAATAGTTAATTACTTTTCAAAATTGTACATAATATTTTTTCTTTTTAATTTGATTTTAAATTTTCTTCAATATATAAATATAGATCATGCACATTTTATTATGTCTTATAGTAAAAAATTACTGAAGTTTTTAAGTGACATCTGCCAGTCATTTAAATATGCATGTACAAACACAGTCTTTAATCAACTAGACTAGAGCATCCGCAAATTTTTCTATAAAGGGCCAGTAATAAATATTTTTGGCTTTATACGCATATGGTTCTTATTGCAGCTAATCAACTGGCCTTGTGTAGAAGCAGTCATAGATAATATATAACTGAATGAACATGTCTATAGAAGTTCATTTTTAAAAGAGTGTTGAACCAAGTGTAACCTGTGGGCTTTAGTGGTTTGCCAACTCCTAATTGAGAGTAGTTCTTATACTGGGGAACTTTAAAAAAATTTCAGCAATCAATTTCTACTTTTAAGTCAATTAAATAAGAACATTTGGGGCGTGGCTTTGGCATTGGTATTTTTTTTCTTATGTGGATATTTTATTTTATTACTATTTTTTATATGTCTATTATATTTTATTTATATGTAACAGTGGAATGCATTACAATTCTTTTTTTTTCATGTTATTTTATTTATTTATTTATTTATTTTTTTTTTTAATGTTGGTCGTTCAAAACATTACACAGTTCTTAATACATCATATTTCACAGTTTGATTCAAGCAGGTTATGAACTCCCAACTTTACCCCATATACAGATTGCTGTATCACATCAGTTACCCTTCCATTGATTGACATATTGCCTACAATTCTTATTACACACATAGAGCACAATTTTTTCATATCTCTGGATTAAACAAAGTATATTCACACCAATTTGTGTGTTCATACATGTACTTTGGATAATAATAACCATCATATTCCACCATCATTTCTAACCCCATGCCCCCTCCTTTCCCCTCCCACCTCTCTGCCCTATCCAGAGTTCATCTATTCCTCTCATGCTCCCTCTCTCTTCCCCTGGCACTGGTATTTTTAAACAGCTTCTTAAGTAATTCTACTCTGTGGCTAACATAGAAAGACACTGATCCAAGTTCTGACCACAAAGATCTTTTTGCATAATTTTTTATTTCTCTAATAGGAAAACAAACAAAGCATGATTTTTAGTTGCCTTAGAGTTGGGAAAATATATTTCAACTAAAGAATTTTTAAATTTAGCACTATCACATAGGTATAGGAATTCTCTGACTATATATTCTATACTTTTTATCTTTTTCCATGACTGATCTATCTAAAAATTCTGTTTTTCCTAAAAAACTATTTCTAAAATGATATGTCTTCTAAAAAATGGGGGGAATTCACTGAACTCCCATAACATTTATTACTAGTCATCCAGTGGTACTTAGGAAGATACAACTATATATTATAAAATTTCCATTAGAAGTAATCTTAGCTTTAACCAGTTTGCTTGCTTTTTTTTTTTTTTTCTTGGTACCAGAGATTAAACCCAGGAACATTTAACCACTGAGCTACATCATAGCCCTTTTTGTTTTTTATGTTGAGACAGGGTCTTACTGAGTTGCTTAGGGCCTCCCTAATTTTCCGAGGCTGGCGTTTGAACTTGTGATCCTGCTCCCTCAGCCTCTTAAGCTGCTGAGATTACAGGCATGTGCCACCATACCTAGCTCTACATTTTTTTAACTGGTAGTTGTCCATATTGATGAGATTTGTTGTTGTATATTTATATATGAACACAATATAATCCTCGAACATAATTTGTTCATTATCACTCCACAGCACTTTCCTCTTTTCCCAATTGTGATCCCCTGGTCCCTTTCCTTTACTAACCTCCCTTTGATTTTAGGAGATCCACTCCCACCTTTCTTTTCCTTTTTCCTCTCTAGCTTCTGCATATGAGAGAAAACAATCCTTAACAATCTTTAACCTTCCGAGTTTCACATATGTTGCTTAACATCCATTTTCCAGCAAATGCCAGAATTTCATTTTTCCTTATGGCTGAATAAAACGTAATGGGTATATAAACCACATTTATATATTGAGTATATAAACCACATTTTCTTGATCCATTCATCTATTGATGGATAGATACCTGGGCTGGTTCCATAGTTTGGCTATTGTGAATTATGCTGCTATAAACATGCATATGCATGTTATCACTGTAGTAAGATGACTTTAATTCTTCAGGATAAATACCACAGAGTGGTATAGCTGGGTCATATGGTGGTTTCATGCCTAGTCTTTTGAGGAGCCTCCATATTGATTTCTATAATAGTTTACTCAGTCCCACCAGTAGGCAAAAGTATTCCTTTTTTCTGCATCCTCTCTAGCATTTACTATTATTTGTATTCTCTGACTACCATTCTGATTTGTGTGAGATGAAATCTCGTAAAATTTTGATTGCATTTCTCTAATTGCTAATGATGTTGAGCATTTTTTCATGTATTTGTTGGCCATTTATATTTTTTCTTTTGAGAATTGTCTGTTTAATTCATTTGTCCATTTATTAATTGGACTATTTGATTTTTAGGTATAAAGTTTTTTGATGTCTTTATATATCCTCTGTCAGAAGAGTGGCTTAGCCAGCTTTTTTTTCTTTTTCTTTTTCTTCTTCTTCTTTTTAATTGAGTTATGTTCCAGGATTTATTTCCCAAAGCATAAGGCTTTGGTTTAAAAAGACAATATTATAAACTTGTCAATTTCTCTTACATATTAAGAAAGGATAATACTGTTAAAACAGTTACAAAGGTGAAGAGAATTGCATTGCACCAAAAGTGATTTTCAATTTATATACCTAAGTGAAATTTAATGTTTTTAAAAATTTTATTTATTTATTTATTTATTATTTATATATGACAGTGGAATGCATTGCAATTCTTATTACACATACAGAGAACAGTTTTTCATATCTCTGATTTTACACACAGTATATTGACACCAATTCGTGTTTTTATACCTGTACTTTGGATGATAATGACCATCACTTTCCACCATCATTTCTAACCCCATGCACTTTCCCTTCCCCTCCTACCCCTCTGCCCTATCTAGAGTTGGTCTATTCCTCCCATGTTCCCTTTCTTTTCCTATGAATCAGCCTTCTCATATCAGAGAAAACATTAGGCATTTGTTTTTTTGGGATTGGCTAACTTCACTTAGCATTATCTTCTCTAACTCCATCCATTTACCTGCAAATGCCATGATTTTATTCTCTTTTATTGCTGAGTAATATTCCATTGTGTATATATATATATATACACCACAGTTTTTTAATCCATTCATCTACTGAAGGACATCTAGTTTGGTTCCACAGTTTACTTATTGTGAATTGTGCTACTATAAACATTGATGTGGCTGTGTCCCTATAGTATGCTGTTTTTAAGTCCTTTGGGTATAGACCAAGAAGTGGGATAGCTGGATCAAATGGTGGTTCCATTCCCAATGTTCCAATAGTCAGCTTTCTTTTAATTCTCATGAACAAATAAGAGAGTTGAGTAGCCTTGAAAACAAGGAGTCTTTAAAGTTTTCTTTAGATAGTAATAACTGATTGCTATCAACCTTTTATTATATTTAAGTAATTTGGAGGGAAAGTTAAAATTATCCTGGTCATTCTAAGTTATTGTCTGATATTAGTTTATTCAAATTTGAAATAATTAAAAATATTCAACTGAGATTTAATGTAGAGTCCTTAATCTACAACAGTTGATTTTGTACATGACATAAAGATGGAGTTCCTTTTGTATCATACTGATAATAAATTATCTTAGCATGTTTTACTGAATAGTGTTTGAGCTGTTGCTCAACAATAATTATTGGCTGAATACAATTACTTTGGAGCAGTAAATTACTGTTTACTATTTCTTCTGAGTACTATGGCATTTTGGAAACATGACATCAAAATTCACCTCCATCAAGAGGTGATTTCTGTGCTCCACCCTGGAATCTAAGTGCTACGTTGGCTTAAGCTAGAGTACTGCTGGAGTGACATCGTGGCATTTTGTTGGCGCAGCTTTTAAGAAACTAGTCAAACTAAATAATAAATGAATATATAAATGAGTCAAGACTTGTGGGGTTTGAAAAGAAATATTTCTTGTTCCTAACATTTCCTAACAGCAGAAGAGTCTCAAAATAAGAAAGTACCCAAGGGTGAGATCTCCTGTTGTTAGGTAACCAACATCATTTCACTTTTCTTTGAATTTTCCTGACTTTAACAGTGAAAGTTGCATGTCCTAGGAAATCCTCAGTATTGTGAATGGGAAGCTGACATTTTTTTAAGCTTTTTCCACTGGTCTTATGTGCTTTTAATTTTCTAGTTATTTGCTCCCTGAGTACATATTACTGATTACAGGATTAAAAAAAATAAATATGATGAAAAATATTTGATTATGGTAAATTTTTGATGCAATGATTATATTTATTTATTTTGAATTTATTGACTATTTTGTATTTGTAGAATAAAGGTTTTGTGAATTACTATGGACCACAGAGATTTGGGAAGGGAAGGAAAGTTCATACAGACCAAATTGGATTGGCTTTGCTGAAGAATGAAATGGTATGGATTTTGAAAATATAATCTTATCTATTGAGTCACCTATACTTATCACATAAACCAGCCCCTTGTTTTCTTAACCTTAGCCTATGAACACTTATACACACATAGATTATATTTATTGAACATTTATTAAACAAGTACTGTTTTCTTGATATTATGTTATAAAGAAACAAACCACATGTGGTGTACCTTAATAATACTCATTTGAGACTTGGCAAAGAATTAACACTCCTTCAATTCTTAGTGAACGGAATAGAAGATTTAAAGGAAACATACCCTATACATACAGAAATCAGATATCAGATTGCTATGGTTTTGATATGAGGGGTCCTCCAAAAGCTCCTGTGTTAATGCAGAAATATTCAGAGGGGAAGTGATTGGATTGTGAAACTGTACCATAATCATCAGTCTATCCTTATTTGAACAGACTGATTAGGTGGTAACTGTAGACAGGTGGGGCGTAGCTAAGAGTATTCCCTGAAATGGTTCAACTTCCCTGTGGCCCCTTCCCCCTTTCTCTCTGCCTCTTGACCACCTTGAGCAGAGCAGCATTCCTCTGCCACTCCCTGCTGCCATGTCATTCTGTTTCACCCTGGATCCAAAGTAGTGAAGTTAGCTGACCTTAGACAGCCTCTGAAATTGTGAGCTAAAACTGACTATCTAAGTTGTTCATGTTAGGTATTTTGGTCATAGCGACAAAAAGCTGACTAGCGTACAAATCATAAAAAAGAAAGTCCAAAGACTAAAAGTGAAACAACAAATTTGAAAACAAAATCTGACTAGTCTCAAATGAAAATAAAAATGTATGTCACAAATAAGAAGCTGCATTTCACCAGTTAAAAGTCTGTCTGTGTGTACGCACACATATATTTGTATATGTAACTTTAATGTATATTTATATTTATAATTACATGTTATATGTTCACATATTTTTACATTGGAATGGAGTGCACAATAAAAATTGTATATTTGAACAAATACAAGATTATTCATATGATGGTGTAATGCTCACTCATTTGTGTTCTAATGTTTTGAGTGGAAGAGAAAAGCAGCAAAACTTCTGAGAAGCATTGCGCATTAAACATCATCTTAAGTATGGCTAACAGCAGTATATTTATACCACATCTGTAAATTTGTATTCAGTTCTGGGCCTCACATTTTAGGAAGGACTTTAACAACTAGAAAATAACTGATACCCTAAAGCGTGGTCCAGAAGCCATATTCATGAAAAATGTTTAACAAATGTTATTGCTTCAGTCTGGAAAACTCTGAAGAGAAAATTAACACAAAATATTTGAAATTTTGTTGTATGAAAGAAGAGATGTTTGGGATTTAAAAGATATAGCATACATTCTACTTAAGTTCCACCATTTGTCAAATGTGTTGCTATAGGGAGACTATTTAACTTTCCTGAGCCTAAGTTTCCTTATCTGTAAAATAGAGATCACATGTATAGCACAAGATTTTTGTGAGAAGTAAGGATATAGCTTTTGTGTAAGCCAGACCCATAGCAGATGATTGTTGAAAAGTTCAGTTGAGGGGCTGGGGCTGTTGCTCAGTGGTAGAGCTTTTGCCTAACATGAGTGAGGCACTGGGTTCGATCCTCAGCACCACATTAAAAAAAAAAGTAAATAAAGTTATCAAAAATATATTTAGGGGCTGGGGATGTGGCTCAAGCGGTATCGCACTTGCCTGGCATGCGCGGGGCGCTGGGTTCGATCCTCAACATCATATAAAAATAAAATAAAGATATTGTGTTCACCTACAAACTAAAAACTAAATATATATATTTTAAAAAGTTCAATTGAACTTTTAATGCTCTGGTTCTCTTTTCCTTTTTCATTTTTTAAAATATTTATTTTCCTATTTACCACTTTATTCTTTAAAATTTTTTTAATCTATTCTTTTTAGCTTTACATGATAGTAGATTCTGTTGGTAAAATTATACATGCACATTTATGTCTTATTCTATTTAGGACCCCATTCTGTGGATGTACACAATGGTGGGTGTCACTTATGTTTTTTTCATATATGTACACAGGAAAATTATGTCAGATTCATTTCACTATCTTTCCTATTCCTATTTCCCCGTCCTTCTCTTCATTCCCCTTTATCTAAGGTACTGAACTTCTTTCTTTTAGATTCCATATGTCAAAAAAAATTCGAGCTTTTGGGGCTGGGGATGTGGCTCAAGCGGTAGCGCGCTTGCCTGGCATGCGTGCGGCCCGGGTTCGATCCTCAGTACCACATACCAACAAAGATGTTGTGTCCGCCGAGAAAACTAAAAAATAAATATTAAAAAATTCTCTCTCTCTCTCTCTCTCTCTCAAGAAAATTTGAGCTTTAATTTTTTTTTAAATGATTGAATACTATAAAAGAAGCTTGAGTGGGAGATTGGGTTGAATGACCTCTTTTAAGATCCCTTTTTACTCTAAGATATATACTACAAATAAATCTCAGTACTGGAGACAGTGATAAAATATAGGAACTGAGTAGATGTCATTTTTAAATTTAAAATAAAATATTAAAATTGAGAATCTTTTCATTAAGATTTTGGCAGTTATTTTTAAGACCAAGAAATTCAGGGAATTGAGAATACAAATGAAATGAAATCAATGGCATGCCATTTCCCTGTACTTGCTTCCTTCCCCATTTTGTTGTGTGTATTGAATATTTATGCCATTACTTTATACTTGTGTTCACATCTCAATTTAGGAAAAGAATGACAAAAGAAGAATTACGGAAGTGATTGTGGGAGGGGGCACTTTTCCCAGTCTATAGTGTTTTAAATCTACATATAAAATTAGTTCATTTTGGAGGTTTATTTAACATTGACTATTAACTTTTGAAAGCCTCCAGAGAAAATTATAGCATCAACTATCATTCATTAAATGCCTATCCTACTAGGGTGTCCAAGAATTTAAATCTGTTTTTAAAAAAGTAAGTTGAGATTTTCATTTAATATATATTTGTTTGCTTCATTTTTTCAAGGTGAAGGCCATAAAATTATTTCTTACACCAGAAGACTTGGATGATCCTGTAAATAGAGCAAAGAAATATTTTCTTCAAACTGGTATGTTAGTTTCTTTATCCCATACATAGCCATACTGATATATAATATAAGATGGTATTTTTGTTTTTCTAAGCTGAAACCCTCTGCAGAGAGGAGGTCCAAATTTTAAATGGTACTGATGGCAGTGTAATTCATTAGAATCAGTGAAGAATTGAAACATAATCTAATTAAAAGTTCATTTTTGATATTCAATACTTTATGCATTGTTTTTGATCTAGTTGTAAAATATTCCTGACTCTCAGCCTTCATAATTTTAGATTAATGTTATGGTGTATACATAAAACCCTTAATGGGCTGCAGTGAAGAAAAGTGGCAATGAGTGAGGCTGCAGTCAAAAGGCATGGACTTCACTTTTCACTTAAGTACTTTCCACCTGTGTGATCTTGTGCAGGCCATTTAACTCCATTGTTTTTGTTTTCTTGTCTGTAAATTTTAGCTAATAATGTTACCTAAAAGATGTTAAGAGATTTAAATGACACCCTTAAAATAGTGGCTGGCATATACTCCATACTGAACAAATCGTACTTGTATTTAAAAAATAACCAAAGCAACCATACCATTTCAGGTTCATTCAAATACCCAATCAACATACCTGTTTGTACTAAATTTCACTTACATTGAAATAAAAGACATCAGTTTTCAAATCTCTAGTCATTATTTTTAATCATATACATATTAATATAGATAATTATTCACAGAAGAGAAATATTTTTATGTCACACCATGATATATAAATAGTATGAACATTTTGACTTTATGAATAATCTAAGTAATAATAAAAGATATTTCAAGGTGACTTATTTGTTTATACCTTACTATAGATATAGAGACTGTGAAGATAATTTTCTCATATCAGTAATTCGTAAACTTTAATGTGCATGAGAAACACCTTGTGTATTTTTTAAAATGTCAATTATAAGGCCCTACCTGAATGAGCATCTTTGCAGTAGTGCTTAGTAATCTATGCTTTAAAAAAGTGTCTCATTAGTGAGGCCTAATAGTATACTGAAAGGATCCAGGTCTCAATCCTTTCTTACTCTAAAAATTCTGTGTATATGTCCAAAATAACTCTTTTTTTTTTTATTGTTGGTCGTCAAAACATTACATAGTTCTTAATATATCATATTTCACAGTTTGATTCAAGTGGGTTATGAACTCCCAATTTTTCCCCGTATACAGATTGCTGTATCACATCAGTTACCCTTCCATTGATTTACATATTGCCGTTCTAGTCAAAATAACTCTTTAAAATCTCTAGTTCCTACTGACTCAGCAGCTTATTTAATTCTTGGGAATATTTGTTGTTGTTGCTGTTTGTTTGGCAGTCTTCTGAATAACCTGCAAGTTAGTTTAGCTCTATTCTAAAGGAAGGAATTCTGGCAAGCTGTTACTGATACTGATGTTGGAATTTTTTCATTTTTTTTTTT